CTGGGCAGCTCCAATCGATTTTTGTGCTTCCAGTGTGCAGAGCTGGAGTAGTAACATAGCAATTTCCATAAAATGCAGAGTTGGGAAGGGTAATCTTCTCATATCTGCAAATATCAGCATTCTGTTGCAGAGATGACTTAAGAGGGTAGAACTGCATCAAGGAAACCAATCAATAAAAGTGATGGCCTCTACAGGGATTGTTCTGAGGCTGAAATCTGCTGGAGAAATTTCATTATGCCTTGGCACGGATAGGGTGCTTCTGTCATAATCAGAACTTTCTTTGTGTGTTTGGGTGGGATGATCAGCAATATAGCATTTGTTGTGCTGAGCTAGTTGAAAACTCTATTGCAAATCCGGAGCATGCTGAGGCATCCTTGTTGCGAACACAAACGTGTTATAACATTGGGTGTTCTCTAATTGTGCTTGCCTGTGGCTGGGCTGGTGGTGAGAACAGGCCCTTAGGCCTTGTCTGAGTTACAGCTATAACTGAGTCATGAGATCAAGTTTCAACAGCTGTGTGTCCCTCTGACCAAGCTGTTCTGCTACTAAAATCTGTAGTCCAAGAAAGTCTTTTAAGAGGTATGCATCCCTCCCCCCCCCTTTTTTTTTCTTGCTGTGCATGCACTTTTCCTGGTTCAGTCTGGATATGGGTGTGAATTGTATTGTGTCTGGAACAGGGTGGATTTGATTTAAATTATGTAAATTTTAAAACTGGAATTTTTTAACAATTTAAATTTTAAAAAATCATTTTTTAAACCGGATGTCATTATCTAAATCAATTTGATTAAAAAAATAATTGATTTTTATCCACCCTGATGTGGAACCAACGACACACATACACCCATGCTTTCTTTCTTTTTGCGCTCTCTAGGTTCTGAATGTTCAAATTAAGCTTAAAAGACACAAGACCTAGAGGGACTATTTGTTTACATTATCTCATGTTCCACACACATACACAATGTGCTGTCCAGAAGATCAGTATTCTTGATGAATTATTCCTTTGGTTTGTATGCAGAAGGAAAAATTCAAAGGTGTGTTCCAGATTCATATTAACATCTAACTCAAGGCATAGCAAGCTTTGTGATTTTAAAATCTAAAGAAATCATCATCGTACCACAACTACGGAGCTGGAAGGGACCCTGTGGATCATTGAATCCAACCCCTGTCAAGGAGGCACAGTGGGCATCACAAAGCTGGGTTGGGTCACCTCCAGAACCTCCACAAGATCCCCTTTGTTACATTAAGGTTATATCAGTGCTATTCTAAATATACTTGAGCAGCTCAGCTTAGCTGAGATACGGGTTGTCAGTCAAGTATGGGGCAATGATTGCAGGTGCAGTGTATGTGAGTATTGTAGGGAACACTGACATGCTCATGACGGGCACAGTTTTTACATTCAGAATGGATCTCTCGAAGATTACTTGTTAATCACTTCCTCCCAACTTCTCACCTCCCTAAAAGTTGTTTCAAACAACTGGAATAGGTGATACACCTGGCATATCTTAATTTGATGTTGCCCTTGTGGTCAAAACACTTCTGTGACAAAAGCCCAGCAGCTCTTGTAGGGAGATGAGCAGTGTTGGTTAAATAGATATTTTGACTGATCTGAGTCACCAGTGACGTCATCGTCGCAAGGGGTCTGTCTTTGGGTTCTGTGTCGGAAGTCCTTGCTTCCATATTTGCAGACCCTAAAGCCAGCTGAGCTTCACTTGCACACCTTCACTAAAGTGGAGTGTGGAGTAGCCTGTCCTTCAGTTGTAACTGCACCGGAGTGCCAAAAGTGCAAATAATTTGCGGTTCGGGGCTTTTGCTTCTGCTTGTTTAGGCTTGAGACCAAAGCTCAAATGTAATCCATTATGGTTTTGTTGTGAGCTCTTTCTATCTTTCATTCTGCACGCCTTAAGTGGAGTGTGGAGTAGCCTGTCCTTCAGTTGTAACTGCACCGGAGTGCCAAAAGTGCAAATAATTTGCGGTTCGGGGCTTTTGCTTCTGCTTGTTTAGGCTTGAGACCAAAGCTCAAATGTAATCCATTATGGTTTTGTTGTGAGCTCTTTCTATCTTTCATTCCTGGTTTTAAATTAGACTCTGGTAATTAGCAGGAGGGTGTACTTCAAGCGCTTACCCATGAGGAATTCCATGTAGCTCAGAGTCACTGCTGAAGAACTCTTTGAGTGGTGTCCCGGCCTCCTCCGGGGTGTGTGTGCATAACAGGCATGGATGCACCTGTTTATAGTGGGCTAATAACTCTGTTCATTGTGACCAGGATATGGAGAATACCACTCAGATATAAAGCAAAGCAAAGCAAAGCGTGCTGCTTATATACCGCCCCATAGCGCTTCAAGCATTCTCTGGGCGGTTTACAAGGTAATTATGCAGGCTACACATTGCCCCCCCCCAGCAAGCTGGGTACTCATTTTACCGACCTCGGAAGGATAGAAGGCTGAGTCAACCTTGAGCTGGCTACCTGGGATTGAACCCCAGGTCGTGAGCACAGTTTTGGCAGCAGTACAGCGTTTTAACCACTGCGCCACGAGCACTGGTCCCTTGGGAAGGAGAAAGGGCCACGTCCTACGCCAAGGGAAATGATGAAGCATGTGTTTGTTACCTGACATCTCTCTTTTGTATAGGATGTGCTCAATGGTGTAGTGGAGCCAAGGCTCACCAAGATGAAAAACGGGGGGGGGGAGATTTCTGAGCAGCAGAGATTATGATATCATCTGTTATTCCCCCAGATTTCTCTGATTCACTTGCACTTACCTGCAGTCAGCATAGTAGCTGGGGAGAAATGGATTTTCCCAGAGTAGTATAGTACTGCAGGCTCTCTAGGATGTGGTCCAAAGTACTGTATTAGAGAGTGGCTTGGAATCTTGAATGGGCAATTAAGAGTCACGAACTTTCCCAGAGACTTCCTACTCTCTGGTATGGACTGCTCTAGCTGTCTACATATTTGGACTCTCCTTATGGACAATGCTGGCTATGGAGAGCGCCCAGCACTGCTAAATGTTCTGTGGTATCACTGGATGTGTTATAGTTTTTTGGGGAGTGGGGAGAAAGGCACCCCCAGCATTTTGATACAAGCGTCAAGGGACAGCACCTTAAAGACTAGCTATTTTACTCCTGCATGAGCTTCCAGGGTTTATACTGTAGTCCTCTTCATCATGCGCCAGTTAAGGACGTGTTAATAACTTTTGGGACTTATGCAATTTGTTGATTTGGCTCAAACAAAACCGTGCTTTTATAACTTTATTGTATGGCACTGTGCAGCCAGCTTTTTTTTGGACTCTTAGACTAGAATTCAAGAAGAAGAATATTGCGCTGGACAGTGTCATGGCTGTCAGCAGGCTGTTGTTATGTGCCTTGTGTGCACAGACTATGTTGTTGTTTTTTAGTCCATTACATACTGTATATTATTGTTGTTGTTTAGTCATTTTGTCGTGTCCGACTCTTCGTGACCCCATGGACCAGAGCACGCCAGGCCCTCCTGTCTTCCACTGCCTCCTGGAGTTGGGTCAAATTCATGTTGGTCGCTTCGGGACAGACTATAGAGAAGTGTATTTACAGAAGCTGTTGTAATAGAATTGCCTCTTAGATGTAGTGCCATAAGTATCCTGAAACACGTTTTTAATGTGAATCATATGTACCATGCAGCGTCATTTCAGGTAATGGCTGGCGTATGTTTCTGGATGGCTAATGTTTTATACGATGCTTTCACAATTTTTATGTATCTAGGCATGCGATAGAATTCTTTTAGATTACCCTACAAAGGCAATACTGCATATACATTTATGAGAATTAGCTTTTCATGTTGTGTCTGCCTGTAGACAAACAGGCCTAGTATGTATTCTTTCCTCCCAAAGACAATTTTCTGTTCCTTGGCATATCTTAAAATATCCCTAGGCTGTTGTATCTTAGACACCCAGACTATCAGTCTGTAGTTTATAATTGATGTTATAATGATAATACAGCTGCCCTCCTGTTTTGCTTACCTGGCAGTGTACTATATTTTACCAAACAGGACTTACCTCTGAATACTCATGTCTGGGATTTCTCTGGAAGTCTTTGTGATAGGGTAGGAGGTTGGGTTTGGCTGGATGAGACTGGACTCAAAACTTAACTCGGCCAGGACGTTTGCTGGATGCCTGTTGCCCCCTCACAGTCTCTTAACCTTACTTACCTCACATAGCGAGTATAAGAATAAAGTGCTCAAACCGCATGTACAAGTTGTCAACTTGTACTTGAAGAAAGGTGGACTGCATCTGGTAAATATGTACGGTTCATTTACAGCTGGGTGATAATGTTTTTGGTACTTGATTCTTATTCTGGTAATTCCCTCTCCTTCCTTCCTTCCTTCCTTCCTTCCTTCCTTCCTTCCTTCCTTCCTTCCTTCCTTCCTTCCTTCCTTCCTTCCTTCCTTCCTTCCTTCCTTCCTTCCTTCCTTCCTTCCTTCCTTCCTTCCTTCCTTCCTTCCTTCCTTCCTTCCTTCCTTCCTTCCTTCCTTCCTTCCTTCCTTCCTTTTTCTCTTTTTCTTTCTCTCTTTCTCTTCCTCCCTCCCCCCTCTCTCTTTCTTTCTTTCTCCCTTGAAATCTGCGCGTTTGGCAACGCTTCAACACCAAAGCAGCTTCCTGCACCCTAAGACTATAAACGGTATAATTTGCCCACGGAGGCCTGTGTATTACAGAAATGAAATTCCTTTTCTGATAACATTGATTGCTTAATGTGCAGCAATTTGGCTGTCAGAAACAGCTGGCACAGTAGGGTGGGACAGTTGGCTTGGGGGGCAGGGACGTTACAGAAGCAAGTGCTCGCTCCAAACACCCGCTGAGGGAATCAGGTTTCGCAGCCTGTCATTTAACAACAGGGCACAATGCTCTTATCAAGCGCCTCTTCTTCTTCGTGTTGGAGCTGAGGAGCCTGTGTCTCCGATGGTTGGCATCCTCCATTGAACGACAGGGGTGGGGAGAGGAAAGCTGCCGTGCGGTGGGGTGGTTTTTCTAGACGTCGCTTCCCGTTAAAAGCATTGTGTGTTTGCTGCAATGTCCTTGCTGCGGCTCTCCACAGCGGTGGGCTCCTTGGGAAGATTGTTTTATTTCCTTGCAGTGCGTTGGGGAGAGGCAGGGACAGCTCACGGCCATGCGTTCCAGTCCATCCTAAAACACATTGCTCGGGAGAAAGGAATCTGTTGTCTTCATGTACGACGTTTTCCGGTAAACTGAAGGCGACAACTGCATGCGCACTTACTCCTGTGTAAGTGGCACTTGATTCAGGAAGGCTTATTTCTGAGTAAGCATGCATGGGGTTGGGCTGGATATATGTTTAGGTAGTGGGTAGTGGATTGCTTTGGAATGACTGCCGTTTGAAAGAACGATCGATCCCTGTGCTGCCTTATTACTTAGAAAAATTGTGCCGGGTAACCGTTGGCTATGATGACTAGAGATGATCATCAGGATTCTTAGTTTTGTGAGTGCACCGCAAGCAGAGATGGTCTTTTCTGTATTGATTCTTGAGAGGTACCGAGAGTTGGTTGGTTCATGCAGAAGCATACTTAAATGACACTGGAGACAGCTGTCTCTTACAGTGGGCTGTGCATACTGGCTACTTGGCGCCAGACAGCTTGCCCATGAATGTATACAATCATCATCATCATCATCCCACTTCCATAAAAGGCCCTTTAATGTCTTTTTATTAAGATTTTTGGCATCTTTGTTTTTCAAAGGCCTGTGGGTCTTCCCCCGTACATGTACATATTGGCAAGCAAAGTGGAAGTGCTGCCTTGTTTCTCTCTCCTGGCTTTGAAAGGGTTTTGGAGAGGGAAAAAAGGAGAGTTGTGTTTTGAGAATCTTATCATGACGTTTAAAAAGGAAATAAGAACTTTGGAAAAACCCTATTTGGCTAGCTGGAAGCATTTTTATCTAATCATTTGTGTATGCACAAAAGCATAAAACGTTTTTTGTTCTCTGCAACTTAAGGCAATACTCCTTTTTTCCCCCCTTTCTCTTTCTCTGGGAGTGTCATTATAATTCCAGATGTTGTTTGGATTAAAGATAGTGAGTGGAAAAAATGAGCTTTCCTAATGATAATAACAGAGTCAGACTGGCTGGTTCTGCTCTGTCAGGGAAATGGAGAGATAAAAACTCCATTAATGGTGCACACACTGTCTAAGTAGCTAATAAAACAATGCAGTTTTCACTGGAAATAAGTCCCCGGATTGGCAGGGACCAATGGCAACTGCACAAGGAGACAGCTGTGTAGCCTGACGAAAGTTTTGTGTGTGTTTGATTTTTATTTTGGCGGGTGGGGGAGCTGTGGTGAATAAGAAGGGGAGGAATCTTTAATAGCTTAAAGGGAGCTTTATATTTTCCACCTCACAACTGCATCTTCTGTAGTGTCTAGTTTATATGTTTATTTTTATACTTGCTGTGGGGAAATAATAGATCATGGTATGGGGCTTTCCCCCCCTACTCTTTCAAAAATATTCTGATTTTCAGAATTGTTCTACATGAAAGAAACCTGATTGCTTGAGAGGAGAAGTTTTTTTCTTGCCTATTTTACACCCACACCCAAGCGTTTTGGTAAAGAGAAAAACCTCATACCCCTGCAAACCTGCCTCTCCTAATAATTTTATTTGAAATTTGAACTATTAGGATTAAAAACATGACTCAGGTATGCATGACTTGAGGGGAATTTTGATCTTCATTTTTAAAAAATGTGCACTACTGGGTGTCACAGAATAATTAAATAAGAGGCATGCTAAGAAAGCAATAGTAACCTTCTGGCCCCCTCCTTCCTTAGAATAGAAAATTGTGGGAGTCAATTTTCTTATGCATCCCCTGAAATCCTTAAATGCTCCCTCTGGGAGATGCAAGCCCTATCAGGTTAGAATCGCTGAGTCAAAGAGAGGTAGTATATTATACTGTTTAACAGTACTGTATCTGACTACAGTTGTGAGGAATTGGCTTTCTTTAGTAGCCTTGGAGTGATTCATATCGTTCAACTTTACAGTGGGGTCTTGACTTGAGAACTTAATCCGTATTGGAAGGCGGTTCTCAAGTCAAAAAGTTCTCAGGTCAAATCTGCATTTCCCATAGGAATGCATTGAAAACCATTTGATCCGTATCTGCTCTTTTCCGTCCATAGAAACTAATGGGAAGCTGCTAGTCCGCCTTCGACCACTAGAGGGGGGATATTTTGTTTCTTTTTTTCTTAGGTCAAGAAAGGTTCAGGGAAGGCAATATCGTTCAACCTTACCTACTTCCCAGAGTGGTGAATGTAAGGTTGTTGCTTCTGTTACTTAAGAGTCTAGTTACACAGGCATGGCAATGTCCATGGAATACTTTGGCCCTGGTTTTACCCACTTAAAGTGAAATTTGTTGTCATTATTAAATTGTGTGCCTCTGCCATAGGTAGCAGTGAAGACTGTTTGTCAGATTCCCTTAAAAATGGCTGTAATGTAGCAGAAGGTAACACCAGAAAGCACTTGGTTTATGCATAAATAACAATAATAGAAATAGAGAACCATCAGCATACAGATGAACCATGTTGCTCCTAGCAACTGCACTGAATCCATTCACAAACAGAAGGCTTACATCAAGAGGACGGGCATTACTTGTAACCAAAAGGATGGTGGTGGGTACTGGTCATGGTGACTGTACGTACATGACCTCCAGGGTCATTAAGAGTTGATAGGGAAGGTACTGTTGCACTCTTGTCTTGTGTGTGGCTTCCCACAGACTTCTGGTGGGAATGAAGGAAACAGAGTTGGAGGAGATAGGCTTTGTTACTGATCCAACACAGGAGGTCTTATAGTCTTATGGTATCTGAGGTGGTAGGTAGATATTTTTCAAGAAAGCATTCCACAATCATGGCTTAACTTCTGAAAAAGCTCCTCCTTTGTGGTTAATCAGCCAAATAACATCTGTTTGTAGGGACACTTAGGAAAGGGCTTCTGGACACTTGGAGCAAGCAATTGTTCATGGATGGGGGGGGGACGGGGGGGAATCCCTGTAACAAACTAAGCCTTTCCATAGCTTCTTGTTTCAGAATGTGGTGGGAAAATAGGCTTCATGGATCTTGAAAAATTCTAGCTCTACTCATTATACCACATGTCCTGTACCTTGATTGGTGGCTTTATTTTAAGACGAGCTTCGAACTCTGAGAAGATGTCGAACGGGAAAAATTTATTTTCATACCTAATTTTAATCCTGCCAGAATACTGTACAGTAGATCATTTCACTGATAGGCAGCAATTGAAAGCACTTCCAAATTGGGAAGAAGGATTGTGAACTGCAAAACTTCAAGCCAACTTTGTTGAGATGACTCAGAATCTCAGAGGATGATCATACGCTGTATATCCCTGCTCAGGAATAACCCTGACACTCTTCTCTGAACTTATTGCCAGACGAGTGTGTATAGAATATGACACTTTCATATATATGTTTTGAACCAGCTCACAGTTTAAGAATTATTTAATGGCCCTCAGAAGTCTGCAAGAATTCCCCCAGGCAGAATTCTGGGGGGGTTGTAAAAAAAACACCAACAACCCAAAGTCCTCTCAGATGTTTTGAATCGCTCTCAGCTGAGGACATAAAGAATCTTCATGAAGACCAAGGAAGTAGAAGAACTAAACTCTGTGGGAGCTGCAATGCATTACAGGTCTGGCAGTCTCCTTGCCCATTGTGCTTCATACAGAGTGCCTCTCAGGAGAACTGCCCTGGCATATTCAAGTATACCCTTAGTACAAGAGCAATGATCGGCTTCCATTCCAGAGTTCAAAAAATTAATCTGATAGGAATATGGCAGTTTATCTGCTATTGCTAACTTTTTCCTGCATGAAATTGACTTTTATCACCTAAACATCTTAGATTATAAATGTTTCTTGGCAGGTATGTGGTTATGTAGTACAAGAATAAATCTTACCAATACTGTATATAGTTTCTCTGTGTAACTGTAGATGATTGATGGAGTATTCTTCCCTGCTCATGTACTGTTTAGATGCTGGTCAATTAAGTAGTGAAATAACATATGAGTATTTTTAGTGGGACATGGCCAGATATTCAGACATCCAGAATGCGGTTGTCTTGGGAGTACCCTTACATTTTCAATAGCATCATTCTGATAGCTAACAGGAGAGCACTTATGAGGGATTCTCTAGTCTACACTACATCTAAAACCACATACAAAAACTGTTTTTGCCTCATACATTTTATAGGCATTCAGTTTTCTGTGTGTGCCTTTATGCCTTTGAGATGTTTTGAATATTTTTGCATGCCCTTTCATGTACATAACCTTTTCGTAAGTGCTAATTGATTCCAAATGTTTAGAATTTACCTTCTGAACTAAATTTCTAAGTTACTTAAATCTGAATTTTACTGTGACAAAAATGTTATTATTAAACATTTCAGTACTGGATGATTTGTTTGATAGACCAGACTGCCCACTATTTTCATGTCTGTCTGTGGAAATGCTAATAAAAGTATACGTATGTGGGATGTGTTCCTCCCTCATTCACCCACTGAGGGTTTTTTATGACTTCTCAATCAAGGCTAATAGGTTTTGTTGAAAGCAGAGTAGCTGTATGGTTTTAAAAGCTTTTGATGGATTGTGAAAGGCTTCCTTACATTACAGTAAAGGTCAATACTTTAAACTACCATTCTGGGTTGGCTGTAATTTTTGTCCTTAAAAAATAAATAAAGAGGCAATCCTAATAACAGGGCTTTTAAAAAAACTAGATGTTATTTGGAGAAAGCCATTTTACAAAGAGGTTACAGTACTTTTATACACGTTTTGAAAGCATTCCCCCATGCTTCTGAGGATTCTGTCCTTGAAATTTTGCTTAGGCAGAATCCAGAGAGACAGAAACCAGCAGAAATAGGATATGTGTTTCCCCATCCCTTTTCATTGTAGCATACCCTGAACCCCAAACCTCCCTATGTGTGTGTCTGCTGTGAAGCCCTCCAGAACCATTTTTTAAAGATAGGTAGGGATAAGGAAGTAAGTGCTAAACATTCCTTCAACCATATATTGGACTTTTGCCCTCTGTTCTGGAAAGATGACTTGGAAAAATGATTTATTTTTGAAATTTGGTGATCTGGCTAAGGTAAAGGCTGCCAGTCGAGCTTTATTTCGCTAACCGGATAAGCAAAGCGTCCAATTCCGCATAGTGCGCGACCTATTCGGAATTGGCCTGGGTGATGGGCCTCCCCCTAGTTTTTCACCGGACCAATTTGCAACATTTTAAAAATCTAAAG